GGGGGACCCTGGGGGACTGAGCTGCTTGTTTCATCAGGCTTGTCAGTTTTCCCAGATTTTCCTGTGACGGTCCCAGATTGGGCAATGAAGAATTTGAGAGCCTTATCACTCATTGGTGTATATCACACATTGATGAATATCACACATTGATATATATCGCACATACGCTGCACCAAAACCAGTCCCACTCAATGTCATCTTTCTTTGTTGTTTTGTAAACCGATGCTACAACTCTGGTGTACTTGATTGCGTTGATTTTGCGACAAAAGTTTTTGTCAAGCCTGTATGTTTTTTTCCTGCCGATGAGTTGTTACAGATGTAAATGTGTTCAGTTGCTGTGAATATCGCAGGTGTGTGGGATGTGTCGAAACAGAGTTACGAATGTCTTCTTGTGTGAACGTTAAATCAGTATGGAAGAAAGGGGAGACTGTTTTTAAAAAAAGATGGAGCTGCGAAAGATACATCAAAGATCATATATTTTTCACTCTAATAGTGTTGATAGGGGCGTTAAACTCATACCATTTCACCATTTTTTTTCCCCCACTCACTCTAGTTGCGTATGGTATGGGTCCCCAAGTTTACTTTTGACTGTACAGCTTTAATTCAGTGACGTTTACAACAATAACACAAAATGTTATACCGGTTATTCTGAGTGGTATATTTCGTGAGAGAGTGAGAAAGTGTTTTTCCCGTGTGGGAGGGTCGGTCGTCTGTACCTTCTGACATCCAGTTGTGTTGAAAAATGCTTTTTAAAAAAAAATAACGGCGATGCTTTTTCCCCCCTTTCATCATGGTGCAATAGGAAGGAAGAGAATGAAGAATGTGGTGGTGCTTTGTTGTAGCCAATGATAAATACGAGAAATATTGTTTTCTTTTTTCTTATTGAATAATGTGTTTTGTGGGCCATTGTATTCTGGGTGCCATACTTGCTGTACAACTGTGGCTTCCTTCCTTCCTTCCTTCCTTCCTCTTTCGATACCTTGTGAAGAGCTTTATTTTATTATAATCTTTTTTTGTTGTACGTGGTCTGAATTACCGTACTGAGCCAGTGCCATGTCAGGAGTTACTTCCCTTGTCATCCGTTTGTGAGAGAGAGTAATTTCCCTTTTCATTGTCAGG